TTGCCCCTTAACCTGTCACTGGGGATCACTGAAAGGAGTCTGGCCCCATCCTCTTGACACCTGTCCTGAAGGTATTTATAAGCATTGGTGAGATCCCCTCTCAGTCTTCTCTTCTCAAGGCCGAACAGACCTGGTTCCCTCAGCCTTTCCTCATCAGGGAGATGCTCCAGTCCCCTCATCATCTTCGTTGCCTTCCGCTGGACTCTCTCCCGCAGTTCCTTGTCTTTCTGGTACTGGGGAGCCCAGAACTGGACACAGTACCCCAGATGTGGCCTCACCAGGGCAGGGCACAGGGGTAGGATAACCTCCCTCGACCTGCCAGCCACACTCTTCTTCATGCACCCCAAGAGACCATTGGCCTTCTTGGCCACGAGGGCAAATTGTTGGCTCATGGTCAACTTCTTGTCCCCCAGGACTCCCAGGTCCTTCCCCGCCAGCCTGCTCAGGCTCAACTACTTGACTGTCTAACATAGTAAAACTGCCTGTAAGAGAGGTGAAGCAAGCTTTTTCCGTATAATCCACTGTGCTTTCCTAGATTACATTCCTATTTCAAGGCTTCAAATTTTGATTAAAAGTTATTATTGCATACAATTTTATTTAAGGAGTAACAATCCCTCTTTTATACTATGCTTTATTTTCTTCCAAAGCCTATGTTAATATTGCATATCCCCAAGCTGTTAACAGTTCATGGTAGGTTTCAGCACATAGTTTGACTGTTCAGAAAGTAATTAGACAGCTTCACCAGGAACTGTAGCGTACCAGAAAACACTGATATGACCCTCTTAGCTGTAACCTACTGCTAGTAGGCAGGAATAAGACATGCCTGTTTTTCAACTACATGAGGGCTAGGATCGCTAAGGAGTACAGCAACTTCTGCCAGATATTTTGAAATCTGGCTTTTTGGCCAGAGTAAACAAGATTTGTACAAGGATTATGAGATAAACTACATATTTGTGCTCAACTAACAGAATGTTGTTTCATTCTCTAGACAAATAAGCATATATTTACATAATGCTGTACATGAGACCCTTGGCTTAAAAACACATAAGCTTCAGTTAGCTTTTCTGTATGTAAACCAAGGTGAATCTGTTTTTAGCAGCAACACAGAGCTGTATGTTGGTTATTTATAAAATATACACAAAAGATCCTTAAGAATAAAGCTCTTTCTAGAACTGAAGAGTCCCGTGCACTACCCTAAGCATTCGTATCTGTAGCTCTCTCAGACACACTGGAGATAAGAGACTGAGGACAAAGTCAAACATACTTCAGATGTTTGGAGTTCAACAAGGGATTGAGGAGAAGCACAAGCTGCTTTATAAAAGGGCAAATGCTATCTTAAAAAACAAACAAACATATTTTTAAGTCCTTTTCAAAGTGCCAGACAGCAAATTAAACTTCCCAATTACTAAAAGAAAAAAAAAAAGGAGACTGCTTTCATTATTTTGGGCACATCATATATTCAAATCTAATATGGGTCCATACATTATGAAAATAAGGACAGACTAGGATTTTTAGTAGGGCTGTCAGCATTATCAGTGCCTCTTTCAAAATAAGAGATTTCTTGAAGAATTAATTCATACATATTAAGTATCAGAAGTAAGCCATTCTAGCTCTTCTAGCTAATACCCACATGATAGTCTTACGAAGCCTTCCACTTCTAGCATGAGTAAATTTTACACTTACAGTATACAATCCATACAATAGTATGTGAGCAGAGTAGTGGGAAATCTGCCTTGCAAGGTTAACTAGTATAGACCTATATTCACTTTACCATAGTCATCCTTTGACTGGGACAGAAGAAAAACCTCTGAAGACACGTAACTTCTTTTGGTGAAAAGGAATCTTATGAAGCATCTGGAGTTCCTAGAGACTCAGGAGCAGGACTAGTGATTACCAGCCATCTAATTAACGTCCCATTTTCTGGACTGTTAGAGCTGAAGCTTATGTAACAAAACCAGAGACGCTGTATATACGAATACACTCGGGTAAAGGTAAGCATTTAGCCATCCACAGCCACAAAAATTCACCAAAACATCTGCTTTAAAAACAAACAAACAAAAACAGGAAATGTACTTACTGCATGTGTGTAACAGTTAGCAGCATGTTCATAGCAAGTGGGTTTGTAGCGGCTGTTTGCTGGAGCTGGATGGTTCATGAACCTGTTGAATAATTAAGAAGTATTTTTAGGAAAGTTAATAAACCAGCTCTTTGGAGTGTCACGAAAGAATTACTTCAACCTAGCAGTGTTAGAAATTGTAAGTACAGACACATTAAAAGTAACTTTTATTTAAATTGTAAGTTCTCCCAGATAAGTTCTCTTAACAGAAACATATGTTAAATTTCTGTGACTGCCTGTCACCGTGGGTGGTTATCTTTAACCAAGACTTTGCATACAGAAGTCAGACCTCCTCTTTTCCAACAGTTTGGTTGGATGAAGAATTAACTATTTCCTGTTTAAATTACCTAATATGGACTCAAATTATTCTTGAAATATGGATTTCGTCATAGCTGCCAAGGGTTACTCTTCTTTTAAGAAGCTGTTGAAACTACAGGAATATTCCAGTTCTATAACACCTCGGAATAAACCAACTTCAACGTTGACTCTTCGATTCCTACAGCAAGCAATATTTGTGTTTGGAGCGTTAGATGGCTCAATTTTCTTTGAGGCTAATCCTATCTTCTGTCTGTAATTAAGATCCAAACTACACAAGGATGAAAGGAGACTCTAATGGTTAACTCCAAAGAGGAAAAATTTCAAGAGGCTTACCATAGATGTTCCACCTTTTTCTCTAAGAATTTTCAAACATTACCTAACAAACAAACAATCCCACCAAACACAGTCTATGCAAGCCAAACGAAATATGATGAAACTTGAGAAAGTTAAGGAAGAACTTGCCAATACAAACGTCGCATTTAACTATTCTAAAAAACCCAACACTTGAATTGTTCCTGTGAAACTACACAGTTTAAATCTGTATATAAAAACCTCTAAAAGACAGCACACACTTATATGCAACCAGACAGTCAAACAAAGCTATGAACTACTCCAGTTACAGTACTGTGTACGTTCTTCCAGCACAGCCTACTATCATACAAAAGTGATTCTCTTTCACTAACAAATTCCAGTTTACTCCAGACTATTATAAAAGTTGCATTGACAATTAGTCAGGTATCCAACAAGCCAGGAACAGCTTCACAACAAATCCAGAACATATCTGTATGTTCAGAACTGAGAGCAGCTTTATTAGCCAGATTTCTATAAAGAGCTTGTTAGACAAACTTTGGTCCTCCCCCCGTCCCTCCTGGTTTAAGTCAAAACCAGTACTATTTTTATGACATCCATAAAATACTGGTCGATCTCAAACCAGGGAAAAACAAATAAGCAACAAAAAAACCCCAACCAAAATCTTATAGTTTGAGTAAGCAGTTCAAGATTTCTGGGATATGAGACACTTAGTTTTCTTGACTGATTAAGTGATTTGCAAACCATTTTTTTTTTCTAAACTGATATAGGAAAATGTAACAGCACTGACAGAATAACACAGTGTCCTGATCTCTCGTCAAATTGCAGCAATTTCAAAAAACAGTTTCAACTCCTACTAAAACAAAGGATAAGAAAAATGTGAATTTCATTCACAGACGCCAAATATAAATAATTGTTAGCAAAGGAATAATTCTACCGGAGTTAATATATTGTTAAAAAATGGCAATTCTTTTGTCAGTGACAAATGACATCTTGCTCTCATCTCCAAGAGAATAATGACATTGTAGTCATATACACAAGCTTCCAGAACATTTGGAAAATGATTTTGTTGCCCAGTGTGCACAGGTCTTCAACAGCTGCTGAAGACCATCTCAGCATCCTCTAAAGATGGAACATGCAGTTTACTCAGTTCTGCTTCCAAGTTAGGAACACATTTTAAAACAAAAGCATCTGTTGGCTCAGCTGAGTGACCAGGATTAGACTGCCCTTACCCAATTCAAAGTCATGGGAAACCTTTCACTGATTACACCTAGAACATACATCTACGCTTCCCCAAAGGCCATGCGAGTACCTTGGAAGTCTCACGAGAAGT